TTTTGGGGGGCATTGTTAGCAGTCAAGTACTATATATTTAAAGCTACATATATTAAAAATTAGAAACAAAAATTTGTGAAAGTGTTAGATGTCCATGAGAAGTTATCTTTGCTATTTATCGGTCAAACAAGTGTTGCTGGGAAAATATATGATGTTTAATTAGTAAGTCAGCCAATTGATTTACAAAAATCTCAGCTCAAGGTTAAATTTCTTCATTCTGGTAGTATAGTCCATTCCTGTAAACTGTTAGCAGCAATGTCAAAACAAGGACAGTAGAAACCTCAGCCAGGGCAAAGTTTAGTCTTTCTGCGGTCCTAGGCACTGTTGCTTTTAGAAGCTGGTGTCACATCCCTCCTTAAATGTCCTTAAATGGAGGGGGAGGGAGGCTGTAAAATTTCTTTAAAGTGTTTTCTTTGAATTTCATATATAGACTAATTATTTGCTATGGATTTACGGTTTAAACTAGTATATTTGTATATGATTCATCAATTGATTAAGCTGTGGTTAGCTGGGTTTAGATTTTGATCTTTCAAGCTTCTTTGTATGTTTTGTCAATAATATATATGTGTAATATAAATGTTTGAAGTATTATGTTTAGTTCTTGACATTCTGTCTAGCATCAGATGTATCAGTGAATCTCCCCTTCAGACCACAGTTATTTCTGCAAGTACAATCTTTCTCCAAAGAGGGATGTTATATGATTTTTTCAGCCTTTGCTAATTTATATGTCCTGTACCAAACTTGATCAAGAAGACTGATAAAAATAATATGTAGAAATAGCTGATTGAATCTTTTATTCATAACTCTTGGTTCAGATATATTTTAGAATTCATGAGTTTTGAACCTAAATGATTACCCAGCATGCAAACATAGTTATACTAAATAAAACTACAAATAAAAATAATAAAAAATTTAGAGATGAGTCCTGACCATATATTGATGCCAAAGCCAAATTACCTCAAATTACAGGTAAACTTGTTTTCTAGAATTTGGTGGGTTTTACAGTTGTAATGCTATTGTACCCCGTTTTTAAATTAAAAATATTTTAAGCTAAAAAATCAGTTCTATTTTTTCTTTTATTGAATAGCAAGGATTTATCTTAGTATAACAGAATAAAGCAAGGAGAAGTAGACAAGAGAAACATTTCCAGCTTCCCATACGGGAAATGGGAATCTGATCAGTTCTAAAAGTGTTGTACTAATCACTTAACCTTCCTTGTTTGAGATGGAAGGGGCTAGCCTTCATTTGACTGCTGTTCCTTTTTTGGACTTATCTTCCCAACTGCTTTTTCCTCTCCTATGTATTCCACTAGGATTTTCTTGCCTTTGTTCCAATTTTGCCCAAACATTACCTAGCCTTCTGCTCTTATTTAGTTCTGTTGCCTGCTGCCTCAAGCTTCTGCCTAACCATCCCATAAGTGTTTTCTTAACTCAGGTGAAGCTGGCCTTTGCTTATTAGAACACCTTGTTCTTGGCAGGGGTTCAGCTTCTCCACCTGTAACCATTAGCTCATCTCTACTGCCCTTAATGGGTTCAAAGGAGCCTTCTTTCTAATCTGGACATTGTGTCTAACACAGTTCAGTGACTGAGCTTTATCGCCTGACCAGAACTGGACATTCTAGAAAATAGTCATTATAAATTCAATTTATTGCAATATTTTAGATAACTCAGAAAATTTTATTACAACATGGTTTTTCTCCAAAGACTGTTGTTTTCTCCAAAATATCAATTATGCTATTGCTTTTATTTTGCTTCAAAATGAATTTATGGATTTTATTATCTTTCATAAGTACCAGGGACATATGGACATATGGATGTATTTTATCATATAATTTCAACACTTGAATAAAAAAAGATTGTTATGTGTGTATCAGCAATTGTAGTCAGGTGATCTTTTAGAAGAATAGGCCAGTAATCTCAAATTCTTATTGAAGTCAGACAAGGCAAAACTTGTTTAAAAATGTCAAAGGAATGATGGGTCTTTATCTTGAATGCTTGAAATGTAAACAACTGTATCCTGGCTGAAACTTTTTTTTTGCCAGTCCTGGGGCTTGAACTCAGGGCCTAGCCACTGTCCCTGGGCTTCCTTTTTTTTGCTCAAGGCTAACACTCTACCACTTGAGCCACAGCATCACTTCCAGCTTTATCTGTGTATGCGGTACTGAGGAACCAAACCCAGAGCTTCATGCATGCTAGGCAAACTTTACCACTAATCCACATTCCCAACCCTGAGACATTTTTAACTGAACTATATACTTACAAAAATCATCGTGAAATTATTATTAAAAGAAACTGGGAACTTGAGATATAAATTCCATTCTGAGAAAAATTCAAAGAGGGAAATAAAAAAGTACTCAAACACTTTTTGTGCACCTCCTCAGGAATAAGCAAACATATTTGAAAAATAAACTATCTTCCTAGTGTGTTTGCAGCCCTGTGACCCAGGAGGTCTGCTAAATAATTAAAAATAGATGGCCTTAGAAGAGGATGATTGGGTCCAGCTTAAGTACTCATTTATTTGGAGAGCTTAGTTGCATTATTTCCTGGGTATGGAAATGGAAAAATTCCCAACCTGCCAAATGACTTTTATCCTCTTATTTTTCACAATTAGCTCCAATTTACAAAAGGAGGATGATAAGAGTGAGATACTGTGTTGGGAACAAGATGAGACAAACTCTCACTGTGGCAGTTGCAAGAGAATGATTCTCTGTAAAAGCCCTTTCAGGGTCTTTGAAACAAGTGGTGGGAAATAATGGTACTGGAAAGGTTGCCTTTTCTCTGCGTATGTGCATGTATTCTGATACTGGGCTTGAACTCAGGGCTTAGGCTTTGGCCCTTAGTTTGCTCAAGACTGATGCTTTACCACTTGAGCCACAGCTCCAATTGTGGCTTTTGGTGATTAATGGGAGATACCAGTTTCACAGACTTTCCCACCAGAGTCGGCTTCAAGTTGATCTCAGCTCTCAGCCTTCTGAGTAGTTCAGGGATTATAGGCATTAGCCACCAGCTCTCAGCGTCAAAGGTTAGTTCTGAGAATGATTTTGTGGCCAGTTTGGATGCAACTGATTTATTTCACACTCTTTATAGAGAGAAGGTGGATGTCAGAAGATCCTAAGACAAGTAAATCCACCATGAGTATAGGCGGAATTTAGAAATCAACTCTTCTTGAAACCAGAGCAAGCTATTTTTTTTGAAGTCCCAAAAGTTGACTTTTCAGACCTTCTTCTGACACTAACCATGAGACCTCTTCTGGTGGAGCAAATTGGCTGTCATGCATTTTGAGGTGTTCTTATTTTTATAAAGCAAGACATTCTCTTTACCCATTAGGATGTAAGATAAATACAAGCTTAGAGATGGGCGACCTCAAATGAGGGAGTCCTGATATTTCAACCCCTAGATTTTGAGTATGTCAGTTACTGGGGTTTGAACTCAGGTGCCACTTGGGCTACAATTCCTCTTCTGGCTTTTTGCTGGTTAATAGAAAACATGAGTCTCTTGGATTTGACAGCACAGGCTGACTTTGAACCGTGATCCTCAGATCTCAGCCTCCTGAACAGCTAAGATTACAGGTGTGAGCCACCGGTGACTGGTTATTTCAACTCTTGAGTTAAGAGATCTGTTTAGGCAGATGACTTGCTGACTTGGCCTATAATACTACTCAACCATGGGGAAAGAGAGTTGGAAAGCAGAGACGTAGTCAGGAAACAGTTCATGACAGCCACCCTTCCCTGTTAGTAGGTCTTTCTTTTCTCTTATTTTCTTTCCTTCCTTCCTTCCTTCCTTCCTTCCTTCCTTTTCTTTCTTTCTTTCTTTCTTTCTTTTTCTTTCTTTCTTTCTTTCTTTCTTTCTTTCTTTCTTTCTTTCTTTCTTTCTTTCTTTCTCTCTTCCTTTCTTTCTCTCTTCCTTCCTTCCTCTCTCTCTTTCTTTCTTTCCTTCTCTCTTCTTTCTCCCTTTTTCTTTATCTGTTTTTCTTTCTCTCTTCCTTTCTCTCTCTTTCCCTTTCTCTCTCTCTCTTTCTTTCTCTTCCTTTCTTTCTCTCTCTCTCTTTCTTTTTCTTTCTTTCCTTCTCTCTTCTTTCTCCCTTTTCTTTCTCTCTTCCTTTCTCTTTCTTTCCCTTTCTTTCTTTCTTTCATTCTTTCTTTCGTTCTTTCTTTCTCTCTCTCTTTCTCTCTCTCTCTCTTTCTTTTCTTGTCAATCATAGGGCTTGAATTCAGAGCCTGGTGCTATCCCTGCGCTCTTTTGCTTAAGGCTAGTACTCTACCACTTTGAATCACAGCTATACTTCAGAGTTTCTGGTGGTTATTTGGAGATAAGAGTCTCGCAGGTTTTCCTGCCCAGGCTGGCTTCAAACCACAAACCTCAGATCTCAGCCTTCTGAGTAGCTAGGATTACAGGTGTGAGCCACTGGCGCCTGGCTTCCCTCTTTCTTGATGCAATGGAAGATGGCACCTCAGGCTTACCACGATGACCTCAGAAGCATGTGATGAGGATTCAGGGCATCAGAGGATTTGGCGTTGATGGAAGACCCTAGGTCAGGTGACAGTACTGTCAAGGCGTTAACCTGGGCATGAAGAACTCACAGGCCTCAAGTGCAACCTGTAGTTGAGGGTCAGCGATTAGGAATATCTTCCCCTTGCTGTTATCTGGGAGAGATTGTCCCTGTTCTTCTTGTTTCTTCCCAAAGCACAGAGCACCAGGGTAGCTGGCACCTAGGACGAGGAGGCAGAAGGCGTGTGAAGAACATTCTGTTCTTGGGCCAGAGAGAGCCTCATCCTACCCTGGGAATGGGGAGTGGGGAGTGCACACGATCGGTGAAGGGGATGAACAATGACATTTTTTTTCTAACTTGGGGGTGGTGGTGAGTCATTTTTTAATTTTTTTATGAAAGTATGACGTAAATTAAGAAAGGTACAAAAGCTGAGCGGACAGCTGGGTGAACATTCAGAACGTGAACACGTTAGAAGACCAGCATTCAAGAGCAAGAGACTTCCACTTGTCAGGATGACTCCGACGGTACCCAATTCCAGTCAGGCCCCACCACTGCTGCAGTTGCTTTTGACTCCTAATGCCCAGGGTGAGTTTGCCTCCTTCTCTCTAGAATTGTTTCTTCTGTGCATAATGGAATTGCACAGAAAATGCTCTTCTGTGTCTATCTTCTTGAATTCGTCTGGCATTGGACCTGTGAGGTTTATCCATGTTGTATAGATGAAGTGGGTCTTGGTTGGGGCTGGTGAGTTGAAGATAGGAAGGAGACTGAAATAAAGGGAATTTGAGATACGATGAGAATGTGGTTAAGGCTGTGGCTTCCCACTCGGAGAAATAATCATCAACACACTGCATAGAGGTAAAATTTAGTAATAATAAAGTCGCTGCATGGAGAGAAAGCCACTTGCCACTTAAGTCTTGCCTTTATGTTTTAGTAGAGTACTTGTGCGGGTTGATGGCCATTATATGAAATGCTTGGCTCCAAAAGGGATTCTCATATCAACATTTTCAAAATAAGTTTTGGCATCTTGACCCAGGTGCCTGCGGCTCAGGCCTGTAAATCCAAGCTACTCAACAGGTTGAGATCTGAGGCTCATGGTTCAAAGCCATCCCTGGTAGGAAAATCCAGGAGACTCATCCCCAATTAACCAGGAAATGAACAACTGCAAGTGGTGGTATGGTTTAAGTGGTAAGGTGTGCTAAACAAAAAAGCTAAGGGAGCACACCTAGGCCCAGTGCAACAAATACACAAGAATTTAGAATATATGCATAGGTATACATATATTTAAACATATATATATTTACATATATATATATACGCATATATATGCAGAGAGATTTTGTGAGTGGACCCTGAGCCTAAACACAAAATTCACTTATGCCTTATTAATATATGCCTTATACACATAGCCTGAAGGCCATTTTAAGCAGTATTTTAAATTGGGGCATGAAGTAGTTTTCCGGTATGTAAATTTCCACTTGTGGGGCTCATGTTAACACTGAAAATGTTTCACACTTTGGAGCATTTTGGGTTTCCATGATCATATTAGACATGTTCACTTTGTAGTACTGTTTTATAACTTCAATCAACTAGCTATTGATAGTAAAGCAGAATAACAAAATAAGCAAATTTACCTCTTCCACTGGTCAGTGTTCAGTTGCCAGCCATGAGTGGATAAAGACTCTCCTCCCAACTTTCAGGGCCTGCTTGAGCATCAGAGGTTGACTAATCAGAGGTCAAATTATCTTCTTTACTAAACTGAGCTGCTGTATTATTTCATTTCCAACTCATGCAAATGAATGTCTAAAGTGGGGGCTTTGGGAGGGGCAGTACCAGGGTTTGAAATAGGGCTTTGTACTTGGTATGCAAATGCTCTACCACATGAGCCACACACCCAGCACTTTTTTATGTTTTTGTGTTATTCTCTGCTAGAGGCTTGAATTTTTGCCAAGAACTAGCTTCCAACTGTGATTCTCCTGTGTTTCCCACATATGTCAGATCACAGATAGGCAACATCATGTCTGGCTTGTTGCAATTGGTGCTGGAGATTGGCCTCAAACCACAAACCTCCTGATTTTCATTTCCCAAGTAGCTAGAGTTATGGCATGTACTACCATGCCAGCCCCCAAAGAATTTTTTTTGCCAGTCCTTGGGCTTGAACTCAGGGCCTGGCCACTATCTCTGTGCTGCTTTTGATCAAGGCTAACACTCTACTGCTTGAGCCACAGCGCCACTTCCAGCTTTTTCTGTTTATGTGTACAGAGGAATTGAACCCAGGGCTTCACGCATGCTAGGCAAGCACTCTACCACTAAGTCATATTCCCAGCCCACCCTAAGAAGTTTTAAAATATTCTGCTAATCAACTTTTAGCCAACTCAGAAACAAATGGAGAGACAATGTATACTGTATTAAAATTTGTATGTTTTCTTTGTTATACAAGCATTACAGCCTGGTATAGGTGGCTCACACCTGTAAACCTATCTACACAGGAGGTGGAGATGGAAACCAGCCTGGGCAGAAAAGTTGATGAGACTCTTACCTCACCCAAGCAGCAAACAGCCAGAAGTGGAGGTGTGGCTCAAGAGATAGAGTGCTATCCTTGAGTGAACAATCTAAAGGAATGTACTCAGGCTCCAAGTTCAAGCCCCACTACTGACACAAAAAATAATGAGAGCATTACATATTCGTTACAAGAAGGAATCACGAAGTTCTATCTGTCTGTTTTTTTTTTAAAGAAAACATTTTAAAATTTTGGAGCTGATTTCAATTGACATAAAAATTATAAGAGCCTTACAAAAATGCTCACTTCTCATTTCCCACAGTTTCTATTTGTATATAGTCAATTCTTTCCACATGTCTTTGGAACCCACTCAAGGTCAAGTGTTGAGATGTTGTGTCTTGTTCCCCTTCAATTTGGAATAATTCCTGAGTACTTAAACTAGTTATAGATCAATTATGTTGTAGAATGCCCCCTCAGTTTGAGCTGGTGCACTGTGTCCTGATAAGAATCAGGTTATGCTTGGGGGGGGCAGGAATATCTCAGCAAGATGGCGCGTTCTGCACATCATGTTCCCTGGGATGGCACACATGCGGCTTGTTGCATTCCATCACCTGGTGTGCAGGGCTACTTTGTTCCATCTCTGTGTTTGCTAACTAAATCAGCTAGACATAATTTCTACAATTTTGCTCCACTGGATTTTATAATCAGTAATGATGTTGTATGTGAGGGAGTGATAATGGGAGGCTGATTCTAGAGTGTCTTCTTCATTTCTAAGTTGGAAGTATATCATGAGGAAGCAGTTTCGCTTTTCCATTTTTCTGTATTACACACACACACACACACACACACACATCAGTGAGGACTTAGAACTTCCTATTTTATTGGACAGCATATATCCTCTTACTCAACTTTGTCAGAGACAGTGATCAAGGTAGGACTTGAACCCAGGCAGTCTGACTCCATGAGACCCAGGCTCAGCCATAACACTAAACTGCTTACATCAAAGCTGTTTAACAAATAACTTTTAGAGGAGTATATCCTCTGAAAATCAATATTAGGCATGAGAATATATACTGTGTTATCACATGGAACAGAAGAAGTAAGATAAACGATTTCCCCTGATTTCTGAACAGTTTTGTTATCTGGAAGGGTTTGGATCTTTAAAGTATGGATGGGGGTGAGAGGCAGGGGAAGGATGAAAATGGAAGTTCATTGATCTCGTTCGTTCCTCACTTTACCTTCTTTAGAGCTATGGGAGTCAAGAGCTGGACATTACTTTTAAGTCAATCTATTGCTTGTTAAAAGTGACATCCAAAAGCCAGCGAGAGACTATACCAATCTTCTTCCACCCCACCAAACAAATGGACTTTCTACTTGCCACTTGCCACCTCTCAAAGCAGTGGGCCAAAATGCCTGATGCCTGGCACCTGCCTTTTCCTCTCCGTCCCTCACACTTCTTTCACCCCTTTACAGTAGGTTGGCAGTACAAACAAGCTAGAGGAAGACGTTTCTAGACTTTTAACTCTTCACTTGGCTTATGTTTCAGACTGCTGGGCTGATCGCTCCCCACTTCATGAAGCTGCGGCCCAGGGGCGCTTACTGGCTCTGAAGACTTTAATTTCCCAGGTAAGTAAACTGAAGGCCTGACTCTAGGTGATGCTATAATCAAGTAACATGCTTTCGTGTGAGTGTCTATGTTACTGGTGGGGCTTGAACTCAAAGCCTAGGTGCTGTCCTTAAGCTTTTTTTTTTTTTTCCTCAAGGCTAGCACTTAGCACTTGAGCCACACTTCCCCTTCTGGCTTTTTACTGGTTAGTTGGAAAAAAGAGTCTCATGGACTTTTGTTCTCAAGCTGGCTTAGAACCACAATCCTCAGATTTCAGACTCCTGAACAGCTAGGATGAAACAGGCATGAGCCACTGAACTTCAGGCATATGTCTCCTTCTGCTTCTCATCATTTACTTCTCTTGATTCTCCTTTCCTGAACTGCTTTGTTTTCTGCCTAGTCCCCTGCCTTCCTTTCTAGCCCTTCCTTTGCTTCAGAGACAGTTTTTGTGAAGGATGGTGAAAGATACTCTCAAATTTGTGTTTGCACTAATGCACCTCATTCACCCAGTGAGGGGAAGACTGAAGTTATATTTATCTACTGTTGCTGAAAACAAATCAACTCCAAGCCCAGTGGCTCAAAAGAACAGCCCTTTAGAGCTTTGACGTTTCCCTGGGTCAAGGAACAGCTCCCAGACTGTGTAGCATCAGCCAGGGCTGCAGGCATCTCATGGCACAACTGCGAAGGGATCTACTTTCAAATTCACTCATGCGGTTGTTGACAAAGTTTAATTCGTTAACACATGGGCTTGCCACAAGACTGTCATGAGACAGCAGCTTGCCTTTGCCAGAGAGAGAGTGCCTAAGAAAGAAGTCACAGGTTTTTTTTTTAAAGAATCTAATCCCTGAAGTGACATCCCATCTCTTCTACCATATTCTATTCATTAGATGTCAGTAAGTCACACCAAAGGGAAACGATTAAACAAATGAGACAAACTGAGGAATTGGGAATCACTGGTTACACTTGAGAGGTCTAGCCCTATGAAATGCTATTTGAATAACAAGCCTTAAAAGAATTTGACAAACAGAAAAATAAAGAATTTGACAAACAGATAAACTTATTCCTTAGGGAAGATTTATTAAAGTCTTAGTTATTAAGGGGGGAATCTCTATTTGTATTTATGACTATATAGACAGGCCTAGGAGATATTTGTGAAATGAATAAAAATACACATACCATTTGCTTTATTTGCATTTTTTGTATGCATGTACAAAGGAGATCAGTCAGTGTGTCTTTTTTCCACATCCTAACTATCACCTAACTACTTTTAGAATTCCTTACCATTTTGAATTTTGGGGTACATTTCTTTTTGTATATCTATATCTTTTTTTCTTTCTTCTTTATGAGTTATAATTTTTTTTGTTGGTTATGGGGCTTTAACTCAGGACCTAGGTGCTATCCCTGAGCCTCTTTGTGTTCAAGGCCAGTGCTCTACCACTTGAGCCACAGCACCACTTTTGGTTTTTGAGCGGTTCATTGAAAATAATAGCCTCACAGGGACTTTTCTGCCCTGGTTGGCTTCAAACTGCAATCCTCATATCTCAGCTGCCTGAGTAGCTAGGATTACAGGCATGGTCTCATTTAATGATTTTTTTTGTGCCAGTCCTGAGGCTTGAACTTGGACACTGTCCCCTAGCTTCTTCTTGCTCAAGAATAGCACACCACTTGAGCCTCAGCATCACTTCCAGCTTTTTCTGTTTATGTGGTGCTGAGAAATCGAACCCAGGGCCTCAGGCAAGCACTCTACCTCTAAGTCATATTCCTAGCCCCTCATTTAATGCTTTTTATTGTTGGCACTCACATTTGAACTCGGGGCCTTGTGCTTGCTAAGCAGGCAATATACAACTTAAATAACACCCCCAGTCATTTTTGCTTTAGTTATTTGCTAAGTAGGGTCTCACTTTTATCCAGAGCTTGTCTTAGACCATGCTCCTCCTATTTATGCTTCCTACATAGCTGCAATGATAGGTATGTGCCACCATGCCCAGCATTTTATTCGTTGAGATGAGGTCACAGTAACTTTTTGCCAGAGCTAAGCCTCAAACTATGATCCTCCTGGTCCTCAAGTGGCTAGGAATATAAGCATGAGCCACCTCATCCACCTTGATTTTTATTTTTGAGCTATTGTCTATTAACTTTGGACTTTTGTTTTTTAATTCTATTCCATTAGCATGTTGACTTCAATAATGTGGTTAAATGTATAAGAAAATTCTGCAGAAAAATTCAACTTTTTCTTGCTATATCACCACCTTGTTCTTAACATTAGTCAAACATACTTTTCTAGTCTGGAGCTAGTAGCTGACACCTGTAATCCTAGCTACTCAAGAGGCTGAGCTCTGAGGATCACAGTTTGAAGCCAGCCTGGGCAGGAAACTCTGTGAGACTCTTATCTCCAATTAACCACCAAAAGCCAGGAGTGGAGCTGTGGTTCAAATTGTAGAGCACCAGCTTTGAGTGAAAAAGCAAAGGGTCAGTGCCCGAGTCCTGAGTTCAAACCCTTGCACTGTCACTATATATGCTTCACTTGTAAAAACTTCATTTCAAATTTAAGTAAGTGGCAAATGTGAGTAAAACATTAAACTATCTTGAGTAAACATAATACTGGCTATTACCAACAGCTAGGGAGCCCCAAGATTTAGGCATTATTTGTGCTTTCTGCATTTCCACATTCTCATACATAATGTATGTCATGTACTCTATCCAGCATTACATTTCTCCAGTTTCAAAGACTCTGAGTTTTTTACACCATGCAGGCTTTCTTCTCTAACAAAGTGTTGCCACCTTGTGGAGTAGACATTTTTCTTTCTTTTCTTTTTTTAAAAAATTTATGATCTATGTATTTTTTTTTGTTCTGACCAAAGTGCAATGAGTTTTAAATCTTTTTAAACAAATAGCTATGAGAAAGGATTTCAGAAAATAAAATACAAATAGGAAATTCAACCATTAGATCACCATTTCTAATTGATTCTGATGCTATTTAGTCCAGAAAACAAAACAACAAAACTCAAAATGACAGCTGAATCATCTTAACATTAATCTAACACATGCTTTCCAAGGTTCCATTGTGAGGAACTTTGTTAAAATTGGTTAAATCATGAAATCTATGTAATAAAGCATAAGGAGCTCAAGCCATTAAATGTGATCCTTCTCCTGTCCTCAGATTCTGTCAGAATAAAGCAGACAATTCCTTTTTTGTCAGTCATGGGGCTTGAACTCTGGGCCTGGGCATTGTCCCTCAGCTCTTCAGCTCAAGGCAAACACTCTACCACTTGAGCCACAGCGCCACTTCCCGTGTTCTGAGTGGTTTATTGGAGATAAGAGTCTCACGGACTTTTCCTGTCTGGGCTGGCTTTGAACCATGATACTCAGACCTCAGCCTCCTGAGTAGCTAGGATTACAGGCGTGAGCCACTGACACCCGGCTAAAGCAGACAATTTTTTTGGGGGGGGAAGGGTCCAGTCGTGGGGCCTGAACTCTGGGCCTGGGTGCTGTCCCTCAGCTCTTCAGCTCAAGGCTAGTGCTCTACCACTTGAGCCACAGCGCCACTTCCAGCTTATTTTTTCTGCTTATGTGGTGCTGAGGAATCAAACCCAGGGCCTCAGACATGCAAGGCAAGCGCTCTGCCACTGAGCCACCTTCCGAGCCCTAAAGCAGACAATTTTTATGTAGCCAGTTCTTACAAAAGGTGTTTAGTAAACTCAAAAAATGGACTTTTGCAATGTTTTAGGCTTATCAAGTAATTGGTCATTACTTACAGAAAGAAGAAAATTTAGGCTTTGAGTAATACATTATACAGTCTTATGACAGGCGTAGTCTTTGCTTGTAAGGTTTGGGTCGAGGGTATGGGAATCAATGGTTGGCAAAATAGTCTTCATTTCTTAAAAAGAAATCCAGTATGAAAAAAGGAAGTGGAAAAGAGCCCAATTTGAAACATGTAGCATAGCTGTAGAGGGATATATCATATTCAGGGCATGAAAATGCAAAGGACCCAGGATATGAAGTAAGGAACAGAATAAAGAGAGAAACCTCAATTTTGAAAGATTTCAGCCAATCGGTTACAAGGCAGGATTTCAAGAGCAGGATTTGTCATGGACAACAGACAAGAGATCTAATTCCTTCTCAGGATAAAAAGTAGTAATCATGGGGCTGGGAAGGTGGCTCAGTGATAGAGCGCTTGCCTTGCATGCCTGAGGCCCTGGGTTCGATTCCCAGCACCACATAAGCAAAAAGAAAAAAGCCGGAAGTGGCGCTGTGGCTCAAGTGGTAGAGCGCTCGCCTTGAGCTGAAGAGCTGAGGGACAGTGCCCAGGCCCAGAGTTCAGGCCCCACGACCGGACCCAAAAAAAAAAAAGTAGTAATCATGGGGGAAATCATGAGAGCCAAGTTGGTAAAAGCAGGGTAAGAAGATAGAGATGTCCAGCTGATAGGGTGATCTTGTCATCTGTCCCATGAGCTCCAGGGGGAGGAAAGTATAATATGGGAATAGACATGGTGATGACATGAGGAAGGGAGTAAGGGCTAGGACACTCCATCCAGCCTCAGATCCTGGGACTTCAGACACTTTCCTATATTAGTGAAGACTTCTCTGTTAAGTGAAGGTATATGAAGCAATGCTGCTGTTACATAGCATGTGACTTCTAGGAGCACTCTTTGTGGTGTGTGTGTGTGTGTGTGTGTGTGTGTGTGTGTGTGTGTGTGTGTGTGTGTGTGAAACTCAGGGCCTCATATTCTCGCTTGAGTCTTTTGCTCAAGGCTTGTATTCTACCACTTGAGCCCCACCTTCACTTTTGGCTTTTTGCTGGTTCATTGGAGCCAAGATTCTCCTGGACTTTATATCCCAGCCCAGCTTCCAACTACAATCCTCAGATTGCAGTCTCCTGAGTAGCTAGGAATATAGGTGGGAGTCATCAGCGTCCAGCTCTGAACTTTCTACACTCAAGTGCAGGAATCATCCTTTTGTTCCAGATGCCATTCTGTCTTTTGAACCTCTTTGCTCTCCATCACCTTCTCTTCAGAACCACTGGTCTTTTTACCCACAGCAGGCCCAGACCATACAGCAAGGCCTTCACCGCTCTCTGTACTTCTGTTTCATATTCCTGTTTTTTCCATCAGTCCTCCATGTGCTGTTTCCAGTGTGACTTTTCTAATATGGCAACTCTATTAGCTTCATCTTCTACAGTACAACAAATTTATAGGTACCTCATTTCCTAGAAGACACACACTCCCTGTTTAGAAATCAAAGCCTTTCATGATCTGGCTCTAGCTTTCTGAATACCCTCAATCTCCTCTATCCCCTATTTCCCCATACCATGGGCTCTTTCTCATCCTAAAATAACTAATAATTGGTGTTCCTGCCAGCTTCTTGCATTTGCGTATTCCATTTGTTCCCAAAGGCATGCTACTTTCTTGTCTTCCCAGTTTGGAAGTTTCTGTGCTTCCAGTCACACTTAAATATGACCACATTTATGTTTTTTTTTTTTTTTGCTTCCTGCCTAAGCCAGATTCAAGGATATCCCATGCTTCTAAGTGCAATTGAAAGTATTATACTTCCTCCATTGCTTTTCATTTCTACCTTTTGGAGGAGAGAGACTCATGTCAAAGGTTTTGTAAACCTAGATTCTCGTATATTGTCTGGCTCAGAATACTAAACAAAAAAATGTTGGCTAAATGACTTTGAGGCTGTCATGCTATGTGTACTCTCCAGGCCAGGACTTCTGTTCCTCCCTATCTCGTGTTGCTACTGCACCCCACAGATTGTGAAAACTTCAGAAACCTGTTGAACTGCATTGCTCTCATTGCCATCATTAATGCAATCTTTAACTCTCTTCTCTCCAAATTATAGGGTGTCAATGTGAACCTTCTGACACTTAACCATGTCTCTTCCCTCCACGAGGCTTGCCTGGGAGGGCATGTGGCCTGTGCGAGAGCCTTGCTGGAAAGTGGCGCACAGGTGAGTACTGGCTCTGTGCGCTTGGGAGTGTCTGCCCAAGTGCATCTGTAAACACCCAAGACATTTCCTGCCCCGACTGCTTCTTCACTGTGGTGTGGACAAGTCTGGTCCCATCTACGTACATATTCTATCATTCAGATTAGTCTTCTCTTTACAGCCTGTTAAAGGTGTGAACATTCCAATGTGGCCATTCATAGGAATCTTTCCAAACTATGATGAAGACTTAAAAAAAATCTAACAGAATAATAAATATCACCTTAACACAATAGTTATTTTACCTGTTCAAAATCATCCCTTTAAATGAGCTCTGAATTAAGAATACATTTTTAAACCCTCCACAAATTAGCTGGGAGCTGGTGACTTAGACCTGAAATCCTAGCTGTTCAGGAAGCTGCGATCTGAGGATAATGGCTTGAAGCCAGCCTGGGCAGCAAAGTCCATGAGACTCCTATCTCCAATTAACCACAAAAAAGCCAGAAGTGGAGGTGTGGCTCAAGTGGTAAAGTGCCAGTTTTGAGAGAAAGAGCTAAAGGACAGTGCCCAGGCCCTGAGTTTGAGCCCCAATACTGACACATAAATATGTGACCATTCCTCACAAATTTAACTTTACCTTATTTGTAGCTTACATCTTAATTTTTTCAACTTACAAAAATCAAACTTGTGAAATTTCTCAGAGACACCCATATTTACTTGCCAGATACATTGCTGCCATTCTCCTTGTTTAATCAAGTCTTTATATTCTTTATTATATGAACTACAAGGTCTTAAATTGTTTAATGATAAGATTTCTACATTTTATATGGAAGTTGAGTTTCTCTCAACTTTTTTTTGTTAGCTGTGGGCCTTGAACTCAGGACCTGGGCACTGCTTTTCTGCTAAAGCCTCGTGCTCTACTGCTTTGAGCCACAGCTCCACTTGTAATTTTTACGTGGTTAATTGGAGATAAGGGTCTCATAGACTTTCATGCCCCCGCTGACTTTGAACCATGATCCTCAGATCTCAGCCTTCTGAGTAGCTAGGATTATAGGCATGAGCCACCAGCGCCCAGCTCTGGCAGTTGAATTTCTATATGTAGAACTGATGAAAGCCTTCCTAATGATTCATGTAATTCTGTTAGGTGGTTTTGCTCTAGGTTACCTCATGTGACCCAAATTAAGCTTGGGAGTATGACAGGTGGTGAGGAAGATGAGGCTGGGTGGAGCCTTTTCCTCTTAAACCATCTAATCAGAGTCACCATCGGAGCATTGGCAGAAAATGTGAAACATTTATCTCTTCTGACAAAGGAGTTTTAGTGGCTATCAAAAAGAAGAATTCAACAGTTTCCTGTAGTCTTTGGCAGTTTTATAAAGGATCAGCCAATAAATGCTGTATTATGCCCTTTAACCTTTAAATCAGCAATATGAACAGGAAGAGGAAATAGTGAGTCAGTCAGCAGAAAGTCCCCAATAATAGACTGTCTCACTGATAAGTCAAGCTCAACTTATCTGAAGCTGTGATTATCATGTTCTACCCTCTGGGACTTTCTCCTTACATTGGATTTCCAGTTTCAGAGACTGAACACAACATTCTTCTCGTTTCCCAAGCCTGGAAATCATCTTTATCTTTTCTATTGCTCCATCTAATTAATCACAAAAATCTTGTTAATTGTACTTTCTATTTCTCAAGTCTAATGTTTCCTTTGTTCTCCCATAGTGGTCTATATCACTTATTATTGTAGCAAAAGCAGCACCTTTGGTGTTCACCCTTTCTAAAATGCAATTCCACCTGCTCAAGAGCAAGCAATTTGTTTCACTCCTCTTTCTTTCTACAACATTGTTTGCTGATGTGAACTAGGAGAAAGATGACAGGCAATCAAAACATGAAGATTTCTCAGACTTGGTGGAGTGTGTATGTCGGGGGGATACTTAGAAAATAAACATCAAACCAGTTAGAATTGAAAATAAATTCGAAATCCCTAACAGAGGAACTTAACACACATTTGACCATCCTTGTCTACCTCTGCCATGTTAGCAAAGGTAATGTTTGAGTTTTCTATATAATGAAGACTATATATACAGTTTTATAGTAATAATTTATAATTATTATAAAAATTATAATAATAATAATTATTATTATTTAGAATTCTGATATTATGAGCAGCTATCTGTAGTTATTGAGTAAAATGGCTTGCTATCAAGCCCTTACTGTCTGGATCCCAAATATTCTTTCCAGTCTATTCCAGATACTCACTGATTATCTTCAGCCCTGCTGGTCCTCATTTGCCTCCCAGAATGGTTGGAGATATCGTGTTGGTGCTATTTTCTATGAGTCTTTAGCTTTGCTATGATCTCTTTGGGGGTCACAGCTTGGGAGAGGCACATGCAATTTCTGTCCATTAAACAATAACAGAAAATTGTAGCAACAAAGACCATAGGCTTATAGGGAGATTTATTTCAAGCCCAGAAGTTGGGATCAAGAGCTACCTGAGCCGGGCACTGGTGGCACATGCCTGTAATTCTAGCTGCTCAGGAGGCCAAGATCTGGGGATCACAGTTCAAAGCCAGCCTAGGCAGGAAAGTCCAGGAGACTCTTATCTCCAATAAACCACTCAGAAAACCAGAAGTCATGCTGTGGCTCAAATGGTAGAGAGTTAGACTTGAGCTGAGAGCTGACCGACAGCACCCAGGCCCAGAGTTCAGGACCCACCGACAAAAAAAAATGTTAGCTGAGTTCTCTAATACTTTTGGCTCTTGCCATACTTGTTCACAATTGGAAGTGGGAGGATAAGCTCCAAATTCATGGAAAATGGAAATAATTGTTACAAATGTTTATTCATTGCTTACTAGGTACCATGTAATAGTCTAATAAGCATTTAACATATAGTAACTCCCTTGATCTGTAATAGCTTCATGAGGATATTTTATTTTATTGTCCTGGTCTGAGGCTTGAACACAGGTCTTTGGTCTGTGAGTCTTTTTGCTCCAGGCTAGTGTTGTACCATGTAAGCCACAGCTCTACTTGTAGCTTTTTGGTGGTTAAATGGAGATAAAGAATTTCATGGACTTTCCTATATGGGCTGCTTTCAAACTGAAATCCTCACATCTCAGTCTCATGAGTCAGTAGGACTAGAAGTGTGAGCCACTGGTGGCTGGCTGAGATTATTTGAATTATATGGATTCCTTCCTTCATTATCATGGGGAATTTTCCCAGGAATATGCATAGGAATACACAGGTGGATGTGGGGGGGGTGTTAGTGAGAACAATCCAATAAATCCTCTTGGTTTCTCTTTGCCTATCATTAGGTCAATGGAGTGACAATTCATGGAGCTACACCACTCTTCAATGCCTGCTGCAGTGGGAGTGCTGCCTGTGTTTCCATGTTGCTGGAGCATGGAGCCAGGGCCCAGCTGGACATGCATCTGTGCTCACCCATCCATGAGGCAGTGAAGAGAGGTAAGAAGCTACTACAATGCATACAACATATTGGTGGGCTCACCCTAATATCCATGAATGAACATTCTAATGTAGGTTAAACAAGAGTCACTCAGATGTTCACACCATCAAAATACAGGTGGCTTAGACATCCCACAGAAGCAACTTTAAATCTTCCAGAAATCTCAAAGTGGCATAAAACAGTCATTTTTAATACCTGGGAAGCCCTTTATATCTCCGCTATCCCATTCTGGGGGGACAGTCTTTCAGCATGCCTTTCTCTGAAGTTTCTTTGCTGGTATTGTGAGGTTAGCTGGTAAAGCCACGGCAGTCATTGTGTCCTTGTGAACTGTGCTGGGCTTGTGTCTGTGCTTTAGAAGTGAAACGGTTCATCCCAAAGTCCATAAGACATTAACCACCAAAAAAGCAATACATTCTGGAAGTGTCTGAAAGTCAAAGATGACATGGCTAATGGACGAGTAACTGCCCATGAGTCATATGCTATAAATGAGCTAATGACTTGAAGGTATAATTCTTGATAAAAACTGCAACGTGAAAAAGTATTGGAAATCTTGAAGTTGACTCAAGACTCCTTCTGTATTATCAATTCCTCTGGAAGTGAAGAAAGAGTGTAATTTGAAGGCATTTGTAACCCTGGCCACCTGGGAGGTGGAGCTCAGGGGATTGTTCATGGTTTGATGTCAGCTAAGGCTTAAAAGTTTGTGTGACTCGATTTCAACCAATAACTGGGCTCAGAGGCCTATGGTTACATTTCTATTCGTACTGGGTTTGTTTTGAGGGTTTTTAACCTATGATTTCCAAAATAAAATGGACCTAAGTTATGTCTAAAACCCAGTCCAAAGAAACAGTCCTGTAATTCCGTGAATAATTCAGTGTGTTCCTTACTTGAGTGAAGTTATTTCATGTTTCACCAGGTCACACAGAGTGCATGGAGATTCTGCTGGCAAATAATGTCAATATTGACCAAGAGTTGCCTCATATTGGGACTCCCCTGTATGTGGCCTGTACCTATGAGAAGGAAGATTGTCTGAAGAAGCTTCTGGAATTAGGTAATTACCTGAAGTCTTTGGGTTTTATAAGAAGAACAGCTGAATTTGCTCTTTTTATGGCTTCAAAAGTGAAATTCTTACGAGGCTAAAACAAATTCAGATCACATTTAATATCTGAATGCTAAAAACAGATGATTTTCAGGAGAAGGAAGTATCTGTATTTCTCAGTTCTGCTATGTTTAACGGTGGTTCCACTTACCTATATTTTTTCCCTGCTGGTCTCAGAATGGCTGCCATCAACACGTGAGTTGCCGCCTTCCTCATCCAAATGCAGCAAGAAAGAGCATTCTCTTTTTGAGTCACATATCCATCTCCAACCAGTTGTGTTGGCTAAGGGAATACAATATGTTGATTGGCTTAGGCTAGCATTTCAGATTATTCTGTACTTTCTAGACTTCCCTAGAACATATGAACTGAGAACAGCAAGAAGGTGGTTCCCTAGAGAAAAATCTGGATGAGGTTACCAGGAAGATGGTGGTGGATCATTAAAAACACCACATATTGGTTATACACTGTTGTACAGTCTTGATAAATTATTTAGTCATTTTTAAAACTTTAAGTGATATATGTAGAAAATATTTCAGGGGAAAATAAAATACCTTAAAACTATCACTTGGTTAAAGATTTAACACATGTAGCTATAAAAGTGGAAGCTATAGTAATTATTTTTAGTTTAGAATATTTTAGTTTAGAATTATTTTAGTTTAGAATATTTAGGTGTTTGTTTTTTTGCCAGCCCTGGGGCTTGAACTCTGCACCTAGGCACTGTCTCTGAGATTCCTGCCAGGGCTGGCTTTGAACCGTGATCTTTAGATCTCAGCCTCCTGAGTAGCTAGGATCACAGATGTGAGCCACGGGTGCCCGGCTATTTTTAGTATTTTTAATGTTTTGTGTGTGTGTGTGTGTGTATGTGTGTGTGTGTGTGTGAGAGAGAGAGAGAGAGAGAGAGAGAGAGAGAGAGAGATCTGGGGGCTTGAACTCAAGGCCTAGGTGCTGTCCCTGAGCTCTTTTAATCAATTCAATGGTAGTGCTCTACTATTTGAGCTACAGCTCTATTCCTGAATTTTGGTAATTAATTATAGATAAGAATCCCACAGGCTTTCCTGCTCAGGCTGGCTTCGAACTGGGATCCTCAGATCTCAGCCTCCTTGCTAGCTAGGATTATAATAATGAGTAACTGGCACCTGGCTCAGAATATTTAAGTTTTTAAGTTCCCATCATTTGCAATTTTCTTTTTTTGTCGGTTGTGGGGCTTGAACTCTGGGCCTGAGTGCTATCCCTCAGCTCTTCAGCTCAAGGCGAGCGCCCTACCACTTGAGCTGCAGTACCACTTCCAGTTTTCTGTCATTTATTGGAGATAAGATTTTGACGGACTTTCCTGCCTGGGCTGGCTTTGAACCTCGATCCTCAAATCTCAGCCTCCTAAGTAGCTAGGATTACAGGTGTGAGCCACCAGCACCCGGCTTCATTTGCAATTTTCTAATGATGAGTTCAGACATCTTTTTTTGAGCGTCAAATAATATAAATATGAAATACATGTATCTTTTTCTAAAAGACAAATCAAAATAACTCTGTAACAGGAGTTCCACATACTGTTTTTGTATGTCACACATTTTGTATGGGAAAGCAACTAACTGATTTAAAAAGACTATAAATGTCTAAACTCACTTCTTACTAAACTACTTTGGAATACAGAATACTTTTGGCATTGCTGAGATTCAAAGTCACCATGTTCTCAATGGTATGTCCAATGTGTCATAGGCTTATTATGCTGTACATTTGTACTGTGTTCAATGGTGGCCATCTGTTTCTTAAGGAGCCAATCCTGATCAGGGCCAATGGCTGAACACCCCACTGCATGCTGCAGCCAAGCAGTCCAACTTGGAGATCATCTACACACTGGTTGACTATGGGGCTAACCTGAGGCTCAGAAATGCACAGGGCAAAATTCCACTTGATCTGGCAGCTCCCAAAAGCAGTGTGGCGCAAGCGCTTATTCTCTGTGAAGGTAAGGAAGGGCTGGGGATTCAATTCTCCTTTCTGAGCTCATACCTCACTCTCCTTTCTGTTTCATCTCTACAATATTTTCCTTCTTTTTTTTCTGCAGTGGTATTGTAAGAGGTCACAAGACCTCATTGCCACATGTTCTGGGATTTGTAACATACTGTAGCTATTCTCTAATAACCAAAGAATACACACACACACACATACACACACACACAGAGAACCAAATTAGTACTTTATATTTTCCATAAAATGTAATTAGATTATCTTGCATTCATTATGAAATAGTCAAACAATTATATCTATTCTCGTGCAAGCACATGACCAAGCAAACTAAAACTCTTCTTTGAAACACTAGGAGACAATGTATGGGCACATTAGACATACAAGCATGTTCTGCTTAAGGCCCATTGGTGATGGCTGCCTATATATACCATGTGTCATGAAATTATGTAATCTAGAGACATCATAGCCATCTTCACTTATGTAAGGATACTCTGTGCTGTTTGTATAGTAATAAAATTGCCTGATGACACATTTCTCAGAACGGATCCAGTTATTAAGTGACACGAGACTCTACTTGAGTTATAGGTGGAGGACAGAGACTGTATTTCAGAAACCTGACTAAATGGTAAAGCTATATAACTCTTCTCCAGATTAGGGAATAACTAGTTCTTCATTCTCATTTCTTCATTCCCACTTTCATGATGGGTGTTAAGAGCAACTAGAGATACCAGGAAAGATGAGTTTCTGAAATGCTTCAGGTCCTGAATTCAATAGAGAATCATTTAGATGTCCATATAGAAATAAATATATTTTCTGAGCCTTTTTGATCATTTGGGTACTGAGGAAAATATTCAAAAATTTTTAAAATGACTTATCTTTACATAGTCTAGTCTCACTGCATTCTTAAAACTTAAAAGCTATTAGAATGTAGCTAGGCACCAGTGGCTCACACCTATAATCCTAGCTACTCAATAGGCTGAGATCTGAGGATTATGGATTGAAGCCAGACTGGGCAAGAAAACCAGAAAACCAGAAGTGATGCTGTGGCTGAAGTGGTAGAGTGCTAGCCTTGAACTGAAGATCTCAGGGACAGCACCAGGCCCAGAGTTCAAGCCCCATGACCAACAAAAACAAAAAGCCATTGGACTCTTATAGTAGCTGGTGCTATACCACAAACAAATGAGGAACAGCATAGAGAGACTGGCTTGCAGAGGATGGCATAGCTTCTAAAAAGTATGACTGAGGTGCTAACTAAACCATCTGAGTCTCAAAACTTGCACTTGTATTCTAACTCTTAAGAAGCAATTTCCAGTAGGGAGCATCTCATATCATGGACTGGTTTCACCAACTGTCTTAAGTGCCTTCCAAGTGGTTTTCTTTGCTTAATTGTTTTAAGAATAGTCTTCTTGAGCTTTAATGTGCATATAAATCATCAGAGTATCATGTTAAATTTCAGAGATTGATTAAGGACGTTGGGATGAGACCCTAGCAAGCTCCCAAGCAATGTTGCTGTTATTAGCCAAGAGACATATTTTGAGTTCCATTAGACTTCATTACTTCCAGTGGTCTAAGATCATTAATGTTTCTGTGGAATTTCTACTGGAAGAATTATGATGTGTCTTAACCAGATCTAGTTTGCAAAGGATCCATGCAACAGTTAATAAGCAAATAAAAGTAGTCTATGGCAGTTTGCACATTTTCTGCCTTAGGTCTAGGATTTACATCCCTTAGAAATAAAATTCTCTGGGCTAGGAAGGTGGCTCAGTGGTACAGCACTTGCCTTGCATGCATGAGGCCCTGGGTTCAATTCCTCAGCACCACATAAGCAAAAAGAAAAAAGCCAGAAGTGACACTGTGGCTCAAGTGGTAGAGTGCTAGCCTTGAGCTGAAGAGCTGAGGGA